CCAGCGCTACCCTTTCGAGGAGCTCTCCCAGGGACAGCAGCTCTTCCAGGTGCCGCTTCCCCGGGGCCGAGGGCGGAGGCGGCGGGCGGAAGGGAGGGAGGAAGGGAGGGACGGTTGCGTGGGTGGCTGCGGCCGGCCAGGCGGCTCTTGATTGGAGACTGGGAAGAAAGGCTTTCGCCCGGCCGGGGACCGGGAGGAGGCGGCCCGGCCCGGCCCTGCGGGGAGGCCACGGGGGTCTTTGAAGTGGGACTCAGCGAGTCGTGAGCGATGGATCCAGCCGGAGAAAAGGCATGGGTTTTGTTGTGGTCATTTTCTAGAGCTTTTGCAGGACATACATACATACATACATACAAACACACACACACACACACCCCAAAGCAGTGAAAACAACCCCCCAAGTTCCCCCCCCATAAATTATTCAGAGACAGAGCCAAGATGGTTACTTAAAGTATGCTGTGACACCACTAAGTATTTAAAAAAAAATCGGCAAGAGGGAAATACTTCTATTTGGACAGAGCACATCAAAGTGCTGTAGAAGAATGGGCCCTTTTCTACATTCCTTAGAGAAAAACCGGTGCTGTACTACGTTGCCTGCTGAATTGCATCTTCTCTTCTGATAAAAGTAGGGTAGGATTTTCCACGTCAGAAAAATCTAGCAGGAAAATTAGAAATGGAAAATGACAACTGTACAGCATGTAGTGCTGCTCAGAGTGGCAATCTTGTTTCAGTTTTGCCACTACTACTGTTGGGGTTCTTGATCCCAAGTATTTTGACTTCAAGCAAATATTTTCCTTGAACTCATTTCATGTGGAATGAGATATAACAGAAAATTTCCAGGGACGGGAAAATGCACAATATATTGATATTGCCTATTTCCAGATTTTTTGGGCGGCAAGAGATACTGATACCCCTTTGTGTAATTTGTGCTTTCATCTTGAGATTTAAAGCATAAATTCACTACTAACATATTTGAACTTCAAAGAATCAGTTGTACAGTATACATAGAAAACACCAAACATCTTTGTTCATCCATTTTTAGCAATGAGGAGACATCTGTTTTCTTTTAAAAAGAAAAGCTGTGGTCTCTTATGATTTAAATTTTCCTAGACAGTTACAAAATCACAGAACGTTACATGGATCCGGTAGCAGATGCATTCCAAGACAATTAGTTTCATGAGTTATAATATCAAAACAAAGCAAAAAACAAAATGGAAAAGTTTAAAAATGCCAAAAATTGTTGTGGGTTTGTGCGTGTGTCTGTGTGTGTATTGTCTGTGCTTTCTTATGTAATAGCTTGTATATCTGTAGACAGTACTCATTGAATTAACATGGAGTTTGAGACAGTCTGTGGGTTAAGTGTTACAGAAGTGGAATTGCTTAGCAAATCTTGGCTTCAGCAGCATGAGTGTTTTTAAATGATAATAGCTGTTTAGAGTCATACGATTAAAGTGGCATAGAGGCACTTGCAATAAAATAAATAATTGTTTCCACTACAAGGCAAACCACATTTAAATTGTTGTGTGTGACATACTGATTTTGTGAATGATTGTTGTGTGTGATATGTGTTTTAAATCTCCAAAAGTTGTTGAAACATATGGCATACAACTTTATTTGAAATAATTAACTTGCACTAAGTTTTTCAGTAGTCTGTCAAAGTTACTGTTCTGTTGATAAATTATATTGTTGGTCCACTCTTCAAGAATAGCTGCCTAATTCATTACCTCAGCTGAACAATGTTTAGAAGAAGTGGTTAAGACTTCACTGTGTCTCCCCCAGACCACTGGTTGATTTTGGAAAGGAACTTGGCACGTGAGTTTTTCTCTCATGTGCTTGGGAACACGAACATCGTTAAATGTATATCACAGCACAGTATTCACTATTACTGTCTTATTATGTGACCTGGCCCATAATTATATATTAGATTAAAATATGCATACAAATACTTAACTCTCTAATTTTAATGGTTTGGGATGCTTATTCAAGATTGGAAATATTCTTGCATTGTACATTAAAAAAATAAACTAATATAATTAAATAAATTAATTCTAATTATAGGTAGAAAGCCAAAGTGATTTGTAAAAACTGAAAGTTAGATTGAAAGTACCACAAGGTGTTCATAAAGAAGATTTGGAAACTATATAATAATTTGGCTGTGTGTGTTTGTGTTTGAGATACGGATGTAAGTTTCCTTTTTGATATACTAAATTTGGTGATCTGCCGCTCTAATTGGTAAAACTATTTTATGTTGGCAGCAATTCTGTTTTGTAAGGTAAAATCAGATACACCTAATGTCACTTATTGCACTTCAATAAACTATTGTTATTTTATCTCTCTCTAGGAATGTCGTATTGCGCATCCCATTGTAAAATGTACTTACTGCCGATCAGAATTTCAGCAAGAGAGGTAAGTTAAATAAATACATTAATGAACAAAGAACTGTTGAAGAAAAATAACTGTTGGAAGCTCTGAAATGGCATGTGTATAGCCTAAGTTCATATCTAGTTCTGCTGGCTGAGAATTCTTGGAGTTGTAGCCTCTACACCTCAGGAAAATGCCAGGTTAGAAAATGCTGCTCTACTCCATTTCTTCCTAACATACATAAATGAGTTTCCTTAGGGTTGCTTTGTGTTTTGTTTTGCATCTCCCCATTTGGTGCATGCGTGATAGTTTTTTTAAATGGTAGCCTCAAACTGGCAATCTTCATCCATTAGATGGTCAGTATGCTAGCGTCTTTCCATACCATTACACTTTCAGATCTTACCAGGGATAACAGAATGTAGCTTTGGTTCCAAATATACATTTTTAAACTCTTTACTAGTGCAGCAGTATCTTTAATCTCAGTTAAGAGATTATGCAGCCTGCTTTCAATCATACATTCATTTAAGGCTAAGAAGGATCCCTCAGTAATCAGAATTTGAAAATTAAGATTTAAAATGAAGTATTGAGTGGAAACTTTACTGGTTAATGGTGTCTGAGATTAAAATTTACTTCAGGTTATAGTAAATAGTACATTTGTTCATTTTGATATAAGAATTCCTATAGAACTAATAAAGCTAGACTAATTCCATTGTTTCTGAATTGGAAATGTGTTCTCTTCTTATTTTATGTGGCAGTAACCCACTGTTTGAGAACCTTAGGAACAACATTTTAATTCACAACTTGCCTCTTTTTCAACAATAATTATAGGTAGATGGTTGATAACAATGTAGCTAAAAGTTGGATTTTTGCTTTTCTTTTAGCAAAACTAATACAATATGCAAGAAGTGTGCCCAAAATGTGAAACAGTTTGGAACGGTGAGTTAACTTCTATAGCTGTATTTGTGATCAGGCTGCTAAACTGATAGATAATTATATATAGTAGATGCTACACAAATTGTAGGCATTTTACCATTGTTCATATGAAATAATAAAGCAATTTTCTGATACAGCGGTTATAGTTTTCCTTGGTTATGTGAAGTAAAGGGAGAAATGGTATCAAGCATACTGAAAACTTACTAATAAATAAACACTAAGGGTGTTGTTTTTTGGGGGGGGTTGGTAGCTGCTAAGGAATTTATGCCTGATGTAGACATTCAGATTAATGCAATTCTAATTTTATGAAACAGGGAAGATAGTTCCAGCCACTGATTGGAATCCCATGAGATAGAACCATTTAAACTCTGAATATGTTTTCATTGGAATTATGATCCTTTATCTCTTGTTCCAGTTACAAAACATAATGCTATTCTAGCATATAAGTACTATATCTGAGGACAATCTGTCTTCAACCCCCTGTATAATGATTTGATTCCCCCTCCCCGCACTGATTCTCAGTTCTCATCAATTTAAATGGGTAGAATTTAATTTTTTTAAGGGTTTCTAACCGTTTTTTTCCAGCCAAAACCTTGTCAGTACTGCAACATCATTGCTGCTTTTATTGGCACAAAATGTCAGCGCTGTACAAACTCTGAAAAAAAATATGGACCACCTCAGACATGTGAACAGTGTAAGCAGCAGTGTGCTTTTGACCGCAAAGAAGAAGGAAGAAGAAAGGTATGCTTTTGTGATTTTTAAATAAAAGTTTGTGTGTAGGATTGACAGTGCAACTGATCTCAAATCAACTATTAGCAAAATCCAATTTACATTCCACTATCCCAAGCCAGACTGAATGTTTTATCATGTTACTTAGTATTACATTGACGAATGACCATGGCAATGATCAAATCTTGATTTGTATATACAGAAGAATTGAGTGATGAACCCTCTCCCTTATGTCTTAAGTAACTAGATTAGCTGCATTGTTGATCTGATGTTTTCTAGAAGAAAACTGCCTTTTATTCTACGTTAAAATAACTACTAAGTGTTTATAGAAAAATAAGTTGCATATAATAAATCTCTTTTCATATGTCTCTATGTTTATATATCACCTGATAGTTTGTCAGGTAAATTAATTTGACTTCACAAAACAGTGAACAACAAAAATAATTGCATGAAATTTTTAATAATATGTTCAGAGGTTCAAATAATGTCAATGTCAAAGTTTGGCCTGTAGTTTGCCCAGTTACCTTTTATGGAGTATAAGCAATAATCGTGTATATCCATTTGTTATTCATAGAAGTCAAGGTAATATATCTAGGAATTAATCATACATTAATTTGTGTAACTCAGCATTATTGTTGAATATATATTATGTACCTTCAGGCTATATCCTTTTAATATAACATTATTGAAACACAAGAACCTGGCCAGCCCAGTGTCCTCTAGAATATATTATTTCATTATATTAACAAATATAGCAGTACTGGAAGCTGGAGAAGACAGCTTGTTAGTACCAGCTGGGAAAAATTGTGCACTGTATCTTGTGAAGTATAATAAGTTATGTCCTAAATATCTCTTTGCCTAAACCAGTGGCATTTCTTGGAAATCAGGTGAAAGATAAACAGATTGGAGTCAAACTAGATTTTTTTTCACAGAATGTTCTGCAATGTCTAGCATATTTTATTTAATATGCTGGTAATGTCTTATATATATACACACATTCATATTCTTGTTTATATTAAGATCTGTGTGCAAGAATAACAGCAGTAGTATTTGATAATTTTATTTTGGCTGTTGTGTGTCTTTTTAGCACTCAGTACGTGTAACATAACTTGCTGCGAATGATTTCCCAAAAGGTTGATGGGAAGCTGTTGTGTTGGCTTTGCACTCTGTCCTACAAGAGAGTACTGCAGAAGACCAAGGAACAGAGGAAGAGCTTAGGGTCTTCACATTCTAATTCTTCTACTACACCTATTACTGAAAAAGACCATCATTTGAAACACCACCATCACCACCACCGTCACCACCACCATCACCACCATCATCACAGCAGTGGCCATCACAAGTAAGTGCTATGAGAAACCTTGAACTTGAGCAGTCCTAGGAGGCACATTCCTGTCAAGCAGTAGATTTAAAAATACGTGTGGGTATCTTCATAAAAAGAAGCTTCTTGTGAACACAACAAATTACTTTTATAAAACAGAGTTTTTAGAAATCAGATTATGATGTGGCAAAGATGCACACTGTTCAGAAAACGTTGCAACTCTTACTGGAGACCTTGGATCCTATAAGATCTTGGTATGACTGTTAGAGACTCTATATTGGTCAGGGACATGTTTGTGTGGAACACACACATCTCAGGGGTTCACAACTGAGAAGTGTTGACTTTCTGGCTTCTCCTTAGTCCTACTGTTAGTACATAGAATTAACTGGAATTTAGGCATGGCCCTGTTCTGTATTAAGAAGACTTGGGCAAACTCCAAATAAGATTCATTGTAACATTACATACTCACTTGTTCTGATGCTCATTATCTTCTGTCAGAGATTAAAAGTGTGGAGTAGAACAGTACCTCCTGGGTTAGAAATTGGCAGTAAGGTACTTGTGAATGCCAAGATCTTGAAGGTCTCATGCAGAATGTCATATGCTTTTGAGGTGTATGTCTGTGTGTATGTATTTTAAAAAAGCCATCATGTGGTAGTCCTTGTTTACTGATGGCAATTAGTTCCAGCAATGCAGTAGTTAAGCAAAGCGGTCACTAAGTGAAAGTCATGCAACTATGACTATGCTTATGGTTTTACTTCAACTTTCCTTTGCTTTACAGCATCATAAGATATGACCCCAGACAGCAGGGAAACATGATTTATGAGGAAGCCGGGTAAAAGGGCAAATCTTATAGCCCTTTTTCCCCACTTCCCTGCCCTTGGGAACGCTCACCCCAGTGCTGGGATAATTAGCAGGAAGAGAATTAAAGTTTAGGAGGCAAACAAAAGCCTTTAGTATGACACTGATTGGGGTTTTGTCAGCGTCAGGCAGCAGGGAGGGTTCTAATCAACTACCTAAGGTCACAGAGCTCAGTTTCTTATCCTGGGGTTAGCATTTAGTAGGGAGCACTGCATTGGGGAGTAAAGCAGACCAGGAAGAGGTAGCTTGTTTAGGCAATCTCTCTGCTTTTTGGGGGGTGAAGAAAAAAATGGGTCAGGCACAGGACAACACATACTAACTGATTGTAATGGTGAACACATGACTGAGATGCTGCAAATGTAACTGCAGGCGTTGGTCCCAAAGTTACTTTTTCGTCACCGTTGTAACTGCAAACAGTCACTATCTGCAGCAGTTGCTAAACAAAGACTACCTGTAACGGCATGCAGGGCCAGAAAAGTTGTCCAATCCCTTATTAGACAAAAAAGCCTATTTGCTTTATTCTGTCTCCATCTTTTCAAACCACAATGTTTCTGAAGTTGTTGACTGAAACCACTGATAAGCTGGTTCAACATTCTATATTTCAGAATCAGCAGTCTGAGCCCAGAAGATGATCAGGGATTGTGGAAGCAGAGGTAAATAGTATTGAAAAGACAACTCTTCCTTTGTATCAGGATTGGAAACTGTTTGTTGTTTATTTCCCTTTATGAAGTGCTGGATGCCAGCAAATGGAAAATTTGGTACCAGAACCAGTTAGGACAGAATTGCCTCTTTATCACCTTTAAGATTAATTAGTATGGGCTATAGATTTGAGGGTGTAGCACACAGGGAAGGGAAAGTTAAACTTTGCACGCGTGTTAACTTAAAAACATTTCCCAGGCACCAGTGGAGGCTTTTTGAAAACCCTAACTGCTGTGTAAAAAAGGCTGGGGATTTTTTTAGGAAGGGCACAAATAACATTGCATCAGCAGTACAATATGCTCCAAATGTCCCTTGAATGCCAGTTAAGCATTAAAAGAATTAGGAATGATGGAAGTTTATTTTTAAAAATTGATTGCTGCGGGAGAAAGTGAGAGGATAGATTTGGCCTGATGCAGGGGAATCCTTGCCCCAACTTTAAATTTAAGCAATACTATATAATATCTATGTGCTTGCTATTTTGAGTAAATATGGCTATATGACCATACATAAAACGATATTCTTAATGTTTCTTTGCAGCCATAAATCCTCTTCAGCTATTCAGAATGAAACTCCAAAGAAAAAGCCCAAAATGGAATCCAAGCCATCTAATGGAGATAGGTAAAAATACAGTTCTGAATATTTTTCTGTTCTGTTAAATAGAACAATGTTTGGACAGGTAGAATTCATACTTTTTCCCATTATTTTATTAATTTCAACATGACTGTTACTCAAATTCTTGACCTTTTGGGATTTCAGCCAAACTGGCCTAAATCTTTGTTGAAAGTTCTGCTACCAGCAGTTCTTGGGATAATGAACTAAAATTAAAACAAATCAGAAATCAGTCTAATGCAGCAATGGCATATTTGACCCTTTGAATCAATTTTATTCTAAATATTTCTTAAATGAAAAATGAATCTCTTAGTTAAACTGCTTCATTAAGCAAGTTTCAGACCCTTTGAAAGTTAATGCTTAAATATATTTTGACAGGTGGTCTTTTTAATACATGCCAGTTGCCTGACACAAAGGGATGGATAAAATCTGCTTACTAATGGCAGAGATTACATCCAATGGCAGATATATTATTAAGCACATAAAATACAGGCATACACATGTATTTAAATATGCTTGCGATGCAGTTTGTTTCTGCCTTTAGTTACATTTGATGCTATTTATTTTTACAGTAGCTCTATAAATCAGTCAGCAGACAGTGGAGGTACTGACAACTTCGTTCTAATAAGTCAGTTGAAAGAAGAAGTGATGTCACTGAAACGTCTCTTGCAACAAAGAGATCAAACTATACTGGAGAAAGATAAAAAGGTGAAAGTTTCAATAATCTCATTAGCTACTTTAGAAGTGTTCCATTTGCATCTAAAATGTATAAGTTTGTCAAACATTTATTGGATTAGAAATGTAATAAAACCTCTGGATCCTCCCTCAGTAGACTTCTGAAACAACAGATAATAGTTGCATGTGGACATGACCTCAGAAAACAGAGAAAGTCCATTGGTTCCCAAGTAGGTCAGACAATTTATGTGAATTAATGTCATTTGAGTCAATTTATATAATTAACAAATGATGTAAATTGACTCAAATGATGTAAATTCGTAGCACAACTCCTGTCCTCCAAATTATCCATGAAATTGAGATTTTACTGAAGTAATTTTTTTTTAAATGCAGAGGAAGAATGTGCTAGAAATGAATGTTGTTCAAATGATATTCACAGGTATCAGATTTAGAAGCTTGTATGTATTGCAAATGGGACGTTTATGTCTCTTCTTTTCCCTCAGTCAGCAAATTAGAACAGGAAGTCTCTCAGTAGAGTGAGAATGGTGAAACTACTGTACAGAGGTTGGGCAAAACTTCATGTTCTTGATAGTTTAGACTTCTGGTGGGGCTAAGCACCTTGCACCCCTAAATCACTGCTATATGAATTTTAAAAATGAATCTTCATCCTACGCTGGTCAAATCAGGGACAGGATGAGCAATGTATATGTCAGTAAGCCTTAAAGCAGCCTCTGCAGTTAAGATTCAGACATGGTAAAACATAATATAAGGCAGCTGAATAGGGCTCGCACACTGCTATTCAAACAGTAACACTACCATTTTTTGCCCCCAAATTGCTTGATAGGAGAAACAAAGCTAAACTGTCACCCTTTTATGAACCAGACAGAATGTTTTTCTGAATTTATCCAGTACATTTGTCATTTACCTGGTTGATTACTAATTTAGGACATCCTCCCTCTGAATCCTTTTTCTTTTCCGAAAAGAAGATCCTTGGTTCCCAAGTACGGAAAGGTGGTGGAAGACAGGAAATTACCCACCACTTCTTGATAGAACACTTTTGTTGAAAGTGTTTGGTGAACCCTGTTCTCCTTGGCATTTGAAGTATGCCATGCGATATATTGTACATTTGCTTTAGATATTATTGCTGATCGCAGCAGTGATTTTTGTTCCTGAAATGTCTTGTGCCCCAAACATATATTTGATTTATGCAGCAACTATAACTCAAAACTGGTTTTAATACATTGTTGAGGAAGTAGAAACTTGTTGAGGAAATGGAGTAATTAACCCTTTATCATTCTAACTGTTAAGAAACTAGAAGTGTTACGCAGTACTTATTGTGGACTTGGTATAGAGCTAGGCACTTCAGATGACTATGCATGCATTAACAATCAAGCTGATTGTATAACAAACTTAAAAGTGGTAATGGAATAAAGTTCTCTTCAGAGATGAAGAACTGTATATTAAAGTAATTTTGTGGACAACTTTCAAAACCATCCCCATGTTATAATACGCAGCCTTATTTGTAGATATTCTTGGAGGCACTAAAAAGCCTGAAATAAAGTGTTTAGAAAGGAAGGCCTCATTAGAAAGCTTAAGCAGTTAGAATAATCCTGGTACTGTAATTTTACAGTATTCCTGATATGGTCAATTTTGCTGCTGCAGGGTTTAAAGATATACCTACCAGTTTATGACAGCTCAGTCTTTTATGTTGAAGTTTAATTTTCAGGTAAATTAGAAAAGGACCTGCATTTTAAAAACAGTTTTTGCTTCTAATATATTTTAAAGGACAGTTTATTTTGGCTATAAATAAGGGAAAAAATGACAAAATTCTAAATCACTGTATTCTGTTTTACAGATAAACTCAGCATCCTTTGCATATGCAGATAAATTATTTAGTCCTACATGATATTTTCTTTTCTAGCCTTTAAAGCAACTGAAGAAAATTGGGTTCTTTATCTTTACCTCTTAGGCTCAAGAAATGCATCTTGTTGATATTTGAGAGTGAGAGAATTGAAGTAACAGTAGACAGTATCTTTAAAGAGATAATTCAATTCTTTTTCTCAGTTGACTGAGCTGAAAGCGGACTTTCAATACCAAGAGTCAAATTTAAGAACCAAGATGAACAGTATGGAAAGAGCTCACAAGGAAACTGTAGAACAATTACAGGTAAACGGTATTACTTCACAGACAATCAGTAATAGCTGAGAATGTCAATGTATGAGAGCCAAGTGGTCTAAATCTTGAACCCAGTACTGCTCACTTGCACTGTGTTACTCAAGAATCAGGAGGAGTCATGTAGCGCCCTTCCTGACTTCACAACTTTTATTTTAAAAAAAACATAACCATTGGCGTGATAAAGTGAGCTATAGCTCACAAAAGCTTGTGCATTTTAATGAAATGATTTTATAATAATAATTTAATGATAATTAATATTTATTAATAGTAATGAATAAATAATGAAGTGTGTTAATCTGAAAAGGTGCTACCAGACCCCTCCCTGATTTTGGGCTACCCTAGACAAACTCGGCTCTCCTCCTGTGTTGTATTCCCTAGTGAGTCCCTAAGGCTAAACTTTGGTTGGATTCTGACATTTCACAAAGAGGTAGAACCCATATGTTAAACAGGTAGTAGGCTTTGCAGGCACAAGCTGGATCATTTCTCAGTGATTTCTCTTGAGTTTTGTTAGGTGGTTTATGAACCTCATCCCAGACCATTGGATGTCTTCTTCTAGCACCTTCGTGTAGATGTTAAAGTGCAGGAGTAGGGAGAGAAAGAGGGGAACCACTGGTTTAAACTCTTCTCCCCTATCCATCCCCCCCACACTTATGTTTGTGTCAAGTGTTCATTTTGTCCTTTAAAGGGGTAGCATTTGCTTCACCTGCACTTTGTCCTTCCCTGCACGTGGAGGGAAGTGGGCTGAATCACCCCCCTAACCTGAGGGCATTGTGCAGGAGTGCCAGAAAGTAGACTCCTTCTGCCTTGTTCCTCATTGTCTTTTTCCCTCAAAGGTGAGGGTGGGGGGAGGCAAAATTCAAGCTGAGTAGAAATTGTTCTGGTGTCACTCTTGTAGAACTACCAACAGGATTGGCAGAACAACTAGAAGTAGGATTTGAGAGGTGGAAGGGTCTCCCTTGGGGTCCCACAGGCTGGATGACCCAGCCTGTTGTGTCGGGTTCGCCATCTTTGGGGGTTTTTTTCCTGCAATTAAGGTTCATATAAATGAAGTATTAGCTACACTAGTATCTTTGCAGCCTTTGTGATAATGATGTTAGATTGGAACCAAAGCCATGTTTTAAATTTTCATATAGCAATGCAGAATGATATGCATTTTACAAAATAACCAGGAGCACCGGGTGTTTGGGGTTTTTGTAGGCAAAGAACAGAGAGCTGCTCAAACAGGTTGCAGCATTGTCAAAGGGCAAGAAGTTTGACAAGAGCGGGAATATGCTGACATCACCATAAGAAGATGGCTGTTTGCATAACTATTAATTTTGGAAAGGTAATTGACTCTGGGGAAACTCCGTAGAAACAAACCTTTTGGCGTGCAGAGTTGATGGCATAGGTCCTATACCTTTTCGTAACAGATAATGCCATGAAGGTTTTTTTGCAAATTAAAATCATTTGGATTATTAAAGTACTTCAACAGGTTTGAAGAAGGCACACATACATATATACATGCAGCCATACAGAAGGAGGCAGCTGGCTAGTCCCTGGTGATCACATCATGCAATAACAAATATATGAATGGCAGCCACTTGAGAGGGCAGTCCCCCAAGTGCTCCTGTTGTGCAGACTGATTGCTTTCAGTTGGACTTCAGCAGGTTGCCTGGGCAAGAGCAGAACTTGTCTGGGAGCTGGGCAAACGCGTCTCAAGGACAAACTTTCAATCTTACCTACATTCCAACAGCAGCTAATTTGAAAATGAGCAAGAGCACTGGATACCTGGCAACTGTTCTTTGTCTTTCAGTCAGAATAAGAGTGCATCAAGGATTAAAATCATGGTGCTTTTATTACAAGAAGCTTAACCCTATAAATATATGTAAAAGATTTTAACAGTTTTATTCTTAGTGATAACTGGTGTTTTGCATTCCCTGTTATAGAAATTGAAAGAGATTCTCTATTGTAAGTACCAGAACAAAATGTGTTTTTCTGAAAATACGCTGTAGACTTCTTCCTGCAAGTGCCTTTTCTCCCAACAGTTTATTTATAGGAATGTTGGTATTTGTATATACTTTTCTTTTTCTTTAATCATGTTTAAATGTTTCCCTGTATGTATATATTTATAAATGTATGTACAGAAGAATCAAATGCTAAGATCAAATTGTTAGAATGATAGGGAAGGTGCTAAGTACTGGCAGGCAATGAATTTTGGCTGTAGATACTGTAACAGATGTGTCTGTGTAGAGAGTATTTGTCTTAACTCTTGCTGTGCCTAACTTAATGGAGGGGGCGGGCTTTTAAACTGTAGGGCTTCTAAAAATAGATGATTTATTTTATCTCAGTGCTGATTTGCATTGTATTCTCAGTGATGTGTTCTCGATTGAATGATGAGGGAACAGTATTTGAGCTAATGTAACTCCAGATATTTCTTTTAATAACATTGCATTGAAATTTAATGCCATTTTAAATAGTTCTGTAAACATGCCTTTTTATTTCTATACAGTGAGAAAATAACAATCCTACACTGAAAGCTTTATGTTGTTAAGGGCGTTGTCACTCAGTAGTTCTGTGGCCAATAAATTGGGAGCCAAAAGAAATGTCCCTAGAGAAACCTGAATGCCTAACACTGAGAATTAAGAAAACGAAAAATAGCCGTGTAGTCATAGAACCATCGCTGGCCCCATAACCTTGGCTCAGTCTTCGCAGTCACGTGACAGTAATGTAGGCTGAAGCACCATTTGCACTAGAGGGATAAAGTGTGATTGAACAGCACATTCTCATTTCCAAGTAAGAATTTAAACAGACATGCCATAAATTAGTGGCTCTCAAACTGTATTTTGGGGAAGCATGGGATTCCATAGAAGTAGATCAGTAACAATAGAGACCATCACTACCAATCTTCAGTTGTATATGTACCTGTAGGAGTTTGCTGAGTGTGTTCTACAGGCACTCTCAATTTCTTCAGGGCGTAGACCTCTCAGCATTGCACGAACTAGTGCACCCGGGAATGTGTCTCCAAACCTTGTGTAATGCACAGAGGTCTCTAGTATAGTGTTTTTCAAACTTGGCAACTTTAAGATTTGTAGATTGGTTGGGGAATTTAAGATGTGTAGATGCTAGCTGGGGAATTCCTGGGAGTTGAAGACCATACATCTTAAAGTTGCCAAGTTTGAAAAACACTGCTCCAGCAGGTAAGCAAGAAGTAACTCTGAAATACATAATTTGGAAATCATGCCTTGGATGTGTAAAGCTAAAAAACACCAATAATCCTTTGATATTTTTATGGTTCTTTATAGGAGAATGATGTAAGTTATTAGAAAAGTTAATGACCATTCCAGAAAATACAGTTTCATCAACCTAAAATTAAAAGACACTTTTTTTCTATTAAATGGAAAATCCTATTGATAAAAGGGTGCTCAAGTTATTATCACAGGAATTGCACTTCAGCTAGCCTTCGTGTTTTGGGGCCTCCAGCTACCGGTTTTGGGAGGGTTTGTTCCCAAGAGACTACTGAATAATTGTAATTTGAACAAAAAAAAGCTGCTTTCTACAATATTGAGAATTTTTTATTTTTTGTATACTAAAGATGAACTTTGTAAATTTATAAATACGATTTGCTGATCTTACATGATTATATAGATAGGGTAGAATATTCTTTTGCTATCCTGTTGAATTGCTTAATCATTCAGACTTTTTTTTAATTGCTGACTTCCATTTCAGAGTATTTTGATACTTTTTCTGATTGAATGACTACCTGTCACTGGTGGACTTGTTTAAAAAGAAACCGGTCAAAACTTTTCACAAGAAACGTAATGACTTTCTGATCAAGGCATTGTCACTGAAACCTGTTTATGCTGCAATGGGAATATTATAGAGGAAGAAAACCAACATTCTGGTTTTTAAATACCAGAGCTGTAGAAAATCCCATTTCAAAACATTTACAAGACTTTACCATGTCTAAAGAGAAACTATTTTTTATTTTTAATTGTGGCATTTCAAAGACTGGAAACTAGCAAATGAAATGTAGGATATTTGGGTGGTTTTCACAATGAGCTTGGTTTTATGTAGACTCCCAAGATGATACACTATGATGTGCATTTAAATCAGTTTTTCAGTAATTGGCATCAAACAAAAAAATCCCTTGGGCTTGAATTATTTATGTACTTTTAGCCTGTGAATATTGCATTTTTTTTTAGTTAGAATGTCTATCTCCATTTTGAGGTGAAGCTGTTCATCTTACTTACATGTGTATATTGTGTTGAAATTCTGTACTGGCACACATTTGACATTTTTGTACTTTTTCTAAATCCAATATTTCACAATAAAAGCTTGTTAAAACAGCAATGTGCCTCTCAATCAGTAATTGCCCATTGGGTTCCAGGCCTGGGCAAAGGGATAATTTTAATCTGGGGTTTTGACAAGCCTTTTCCAATCTGATGCCTATAAGCCCTATCCACCCTAGCCAACATCTTGTCTGTTCTATAATTTGTATGTGTGTTTCACAGACTGCCTGTAATGAATAAACTTTTAAAATCAAATGAAATTTGAAGTCATGATTCCAAGCTGTCCCTAGTATTCTGTTTAGTTCAGTGTTTTTCAACCTTGGAAACTTTAAGATGTGTGGACTTCAACTCCCAGAATTCCCCAGGCAGCATGCTGGCTAGAGAACTCTGAGAGTTGAAGTCCACACATCTTAAAAGTTCCCAAGGTTGAAAAACATTGGTTTATTTTATCACATTCTGGTGGTTAACTGCAAAAAACATTTAATGCTTTTCATACATGAACTGATTTCACATAGATGGAAGGTACCATTTAGCCCATGAACCCCAGTCCTATGTGCAGGAATTTAATTTAAAACCATTTACGACAGATAGCTATATAGTTCCCAAATGAGCATATCCAAAGAAGGGGAACACCCCACTCCTTGGGATAATAGGTTCCACCACTAATTCCTCTTGCTGCTAGGAAGTTTTTTTTTTAAAATAACATTCAATTAGAATCTCTCTTCCTGTAATTTAAAATCCATTGTTCAATGTCCAGTCCTCTGGAGCAATGGCATTCCTCCTCATGGCATCCTTTCAGGTATTTAGAGGGTGCTGTTGTATCATCCTTAGACCTCTTAACCATTTTTTTCAGTCTTTTTTCTAGGACTTAGTATTTAGTTCTATGATTATCCTTTTTCCCCTTCTGTGAATCTGTTTTGGGTTCTCTGATCCTCCCTCCTCCCTTTAATTTGTTGGAATAGATATTTAAAAGTGCAACAAAGAAAAAAAAATCTAAAAAAAAAAGATTTACAAAACTATAAAGTTGTATAAGAACGTTCAAAACAACATTAGATTGAGTACTGCATATGAAAATGATCTTACAGGTAGTCCTCAGCTTATGACCACAACTGGGACCAGAACTTCCATCACTAAGTAATGTGGTTGTTAAGTGAGTCATGCCCGATTTTACAACCTTTTTGCCATGGTTGTTAAACAAATCAGGTGGTAGTTAAGTAAATCCAGTTTCCCCCACTGACTTTGCTTGTTAGAAGCCCTCTGGGAAGGTTGCCGATGATGATCACATGACCCCAGGACACCGCAACCATTGTAAATACATGCCCAGTTGCCAAGCGCCTGAATTCTGGTCAGTGACCATGGGGACACTGCAACAGTTGTAAGTGCAGGGACCAGTCATAAATCACTTTTTCCACCACCATCATAACTTCAAACAGTCATTATACAGATAGTTGTAAGTCGAGGATTACCTGTACATCAATGTACTACTTTAAAACTGATATTAAAATCAAATCAATATTCGGTGATTAGCAAAAGCAGCCAATAATATAAGAATCATCAGAACACACAATTAATAGGACTATCTATTCTGAGAAAATCTATCCATACCACAAATCAGGGAAGGTCTAATATTTTAAACCCTTACATTAAGAGAAACCCAAACTTTGGATGTGGTACAAGTCCATGTGCAGACTTACAGTCTGTAAATGGTTTCCAAGTTAAATTCAGTATAGGAGTTGGTTTTTATTCTTGACATAGATGCATAATTTGTCATTCTTCTAAAGAAGAAATATGTGTAGTTTCTGGTAAAAAGCATTAAGTATCATAGCAGCTGTTGTCATATACAGAGGCAACTTTGTTCTTTGTAGAAATAAAAGATTTAGTTACGCTCAACAGAAAAACAAAAAAGTGTTTAAAATTTGTTTCATTCTAGGATGGATCATCTTACAGAGTTGTTGAGCTTTATGACATTGACACCAAGTATGAAAAAACATGCATTTCTACCCATTTTTAAAATATGAATTACCTATTTTGGCAATAAAGGCTAGTGTAATATAACAGCAAAAAATAAACACTTGTACCAATTTTCTCAGCGTAATATCTGCAATAAGTTTAATATTTATCTTCCCTTATTCCCACTGTTGCCTATTAATTGTCCTGTTTAAGTTCTGCATCCATTTAATTGTACATTCTTTGACTTCTTTCTGAATAATTTTGGTAACAATTTGTAAATAAACGGCTATAAGTATTCTTAATTTCGTGTTACAAGCTCTCCAAATTCAGCCAGGTCTCTGGATGTTCTTTCCCCCAGTGATGTTTTGTTTTTGTATTTCTGCAATTCCTTTTGAAGGATACTACTTATCTGAAGATACTGGGCCAATGTGGTGCTTCTCTGATCCTTAAAGTTCAGTGCCCTGAGCTGGACTTGGTGTTCAAGATGGAACTGGACCAAACATGGAACGAAATAGAATTGATTGCTTCCCATGAACTGAGAACTATATTAACACTATGTAAAATTGCATTCACCTTTTTAATAGCCTGGCACTTGTTCGTTCTTAATCTGTAAACAATTACCATTCCAATACCTTCTTTACAAGTACAATGAGCAAATCAGGCAGTGCCCCTCCCATACCTGGCTATTTGATGGTTGTTTCCAAGGCCTTTGCCTCTATTAAATATTCTCTTCCTTTCGACCAATTTCTAGGACCTGTAAATCTCTACATAACAATACACACACACCTAGCCCAGATGTCACAACCACCTTAGAGGGGAAATACAGTTTTTTAAAACCTGATCAGACTTGTGTAGACAAAGTGGGAGTGCCATCAAACCAGCTCTGAGCATTGCTTCCTACTTCACTTGCTCAAGCTGTAAGCTTGTCCAGGCAAAGCAAAACCTAGCGTTGACAATGCTCAATATTTTTCACCCATCCTTAACCATTAGTTTTTATTCATGGGGGCGGAAGGGGAGATGCACAAATTATTTTATGCCACCACAAATTATGAAAATCCCTGTCCTAGGGTACTGCCCAGTTTTGCTATCCTACCTAATATTGTGTCCATCTGCAAATACCAGAAGGATTCCCTCCCCAGTCTTCTCCAAATCACTAATATGGAATCCAGGACTGAACCCAACAGCACCCACTTGACACCTATCTTCACTTCGACAAGGAACTGTTCAGAACACTCCAAATACAATGTTAAGCCCACTTTCCCTTTAATCATAAGGCCATCTGCCCCAGATTTAACCAGCTTGCTAATTAGAATGTCATGGAATACTTCTGTCAAAAGCTTTGCTGAGATGAAGATACATCTACAGAATTGTCCCCATTTACTAAGAAAATTATCCAGCATTAAATGAAGTATGGATAATCTTACGCTCCATGGGCTGCCTCGGGGATGTCCAAAGTCAAGATGGTGGCCACAACGGTGGGGTTTTTATGTGCCTCAGACGTAAAAAACAAGCAGAGCTTTGCTCTCACTGTTGCAGCTGCCATCTTGACTTTTTTACCTGTCCTGCAAGCACCTCTGATCTGTCTTGATCTTTTGGTGTTCCTCTGCCTTGCCCTGTGGCACATGCTTCTTCATCTGCTCTAGTTGTGCTTGATTTCCACATATGTCTGTATATATTTAGTAATAAAATTTTGTTTTTGTTTTTTTTTACATACACGTTGAAATATATGTGTCATATATTCCCATCTTAAAAAGAGAATTCAGAAAGTGTGGGCAGGAAAAATGAGAGATTCATTCTTTTATTAATTCCTTGCATCCTTTATAAAGTTATATGGTAGTTAATAAACTCCCTTGTATCATTCAGAGGCAGTCTGTTGACCTAGGAAAAGTCAATAGAAATATTTAAAATAATCCTATCCTGCCATAAATTTAATGAAAGACAATGCCAAATATTGTGACTAATGGGGCATGATCTACATACCAGGGACAGTTTTGAATTATCTTGCCCGCCCCACCCATCCAAACACTTACTGGTGAATTATTTTGTGATTCTAGTTTGAAATCTATTCTAGATAAATGCATTACGAGCAGGAAAAAAGTTAACTTCCTATCATTTTGACCATTACAATCAGACTGAATTTCGCTGCATAAAACTGAGGCCTTAACAGTCTTCAAATATTCAATGTCAGTTTGGGACTTTGCAGGTCTGTGTTCTGATTCTTATCTGACTAGAATAATGCTAGTTAGTCATTCAACAGTAGGATCTTACAATGAAGAGGGTTTTTTAAAGCCATAATGCTCTATTTACAGTCCATCCTCCAGCCACTAGTTGGTGCTACCAGATTTGATTTCTACTTTTTATCTACAACATATCTAAATGTTTCCAGCTGTGCTAATATAAACATTGAATAGCTACTCTCTGCTTCAATTCTTGACCTACAAAAGACCTGTGTTTTGCCTTTTACACTATATTGTTGAAAATGCATTTTCTACCTGGTGCCTTTTCCATCCACCTTATCAGGAACAACAAGGAGGATGTAACCTGAAGCCATCACATCAGATAAAGCGTTTCACATCCAACCCCCTTTCCGGCCACTTCCCCAGAAATCTTGACCTCTGCATGGAAGGTGATCTGCTGCAGCTTCTCCATCCTATGTCTTAGTCTTACTTCTGTGTAGATTTCATGACTTGGCTTTGAAGGGTCAAATTTCCCCCTTTCCTCTTCTGCAACCCGTTTATTATAGCACCTTGCCTGATAAGCTTGTGCATATCTGGTGCACCAGAGTTGGCCTAATATCCATCTAGCGATAGATAGATAGATAGATAGATAGATAGATAGATAGATAGATAGATAGATAGATAGATAGATAGAATCTACCATATCTATCTCTGTCTCTGTCTCTCATCTATCATATACCTACCTACCTAACCTCAATGTTCTCTACATTTAGATGCCCCAAAACACAGTTCTGCTTAATGATGGTT